AACTCGTAGTGATGGTATTGATAATCATCCTCCCGTTCATAAGCCTCCCAATGTTGGTGTTGGTACATATGAGCACTGTACCGAGTATTGTTGAAGTTTGGTTGTTGATGAGATTCATGAGGCATTGGGTTATAATCCCCAATGGTTTCAAGGTAGTAAGGGCTCGCCATTCTCCTAGGATAGGGGTTGTATTCCATTGATGACTCTTTGAAACACTCATAAAAACAAAAACAAGAATTGAAAAAAAAAATTAGAAGAAAAATAAAGAAAAAAAATCCTAGAACTCCTAGGAAATCAAATTAGTCCTCGGCAATGGTACCAAAAACTTGATATCGTGGGTTATTCAAAATTTAAATTTATAACCCTAGATAACCTGCAAGTGCGCAAGCAAACGCAGTAGTAGTTAGGGTCGAACCACTGAGGACTAGAGAGATGATACGCTACGCATTTATGAGATGCAAATTAAGCTAAGACAAAATATGATTTTGGTTTTGTGGTTTTATGAAAACGTGAATAATAAATAAGAAAGCAAAGAAACTAAAAGCAAAGATATATCAATAAGAAAAAAGCGTTAGACATTAGACAATTAGCAGAGACTCATGAAACACATAAAGATATTGGGTTTTTAAAGATCGTTCTAGAACTCAAATCACGAAGGTATAATCTTCCCATTGTTGTGGCTCTGATCACTATGTTTTAACACCCTAATAGACTCAATTATCGCATGTTATTACAAGGTGAAAACACGAATTAGTGCTCCAGATTGGATTGTTCATAATACTCCATAACTAACCTTTCAAATTGTTATGACGCATTACTCAACAAATATTAGTTCAGACAATATAACAAGTTTTTGGACAGTATATCAACCTAAGATCAGTTCGCGAGATGGCCAACCAAGCAAACAGCAATACGATCAAATAGAGGTGAATAATCCACTAGATAAACCCTAAAAAGTTTGATATTCAATTATACATAAACATGGAATCCTTGAATGCCTAAAGCCTAATAATGAAGCAACAAGGATAAGCACGAAACATCATAGACAAACTGATATAATGCATTTTTGGTGTATTCTAACCCTTGTTTTGTAGGTTTTTATCGAGTCTTTCATTTTATTTTGAATCATTTTAGGTCAAAAAGCGGTTGGAATGGAGGATTGAAGCTCATGAAGAGACTTGGCGAAAAAGGAGGGAAACTGGATCTTTTTTAAGATTCTGAAGATAAGGAGCACCCGTTCGCGATCGGCTGACCTACTCTGCAGAAGATCTACTTTTGGAAATTTTCATTAAACCTATTTTTTGCCACCGAGGGTTTCCCATATAAATCCTAGCCGCCCCAGACCTAAGGAGGCACCCGTTTTTCATCAAACTAACAGAGAGAACACGAGTGAGAGAGATTGGATACTTGTTTTTAGAGTTTTGTAAGATTTGAAGATTGTCTTCCAT